AGGAAATGCATTGCTTCTTTTGACACAAATGTCTGGAAATTGTCTCACCTTTCTGAAAATACTCCTTTCCATATTGCTTTTTAATATCGGGGGGAAGCTTATTCCAAATAATCTCCTTCTCTTTCATAATCCTTGCTGGATTGGATAATGCCGTTTTGAACAGTCCAGGTTGAATGCAACAAACCTTTACTCCAAAAGCTTTCATGTCTCTCCTGCAAAAACAGCCCAATCATTTAATCACATAAGACATTATTATTAATACTGTAGGGTTTTTTCTGCACTATTACTTTTATTTCTGTCTTTACATAGCACACCAGCACACAAATACTGTGAGGTTTGTTCATGGTTGTGAACTTTCAGCTTGTTATCCCTGAATGAAATAGGGATGAACTATCTCTACCTGCTTCACAGAGTAAGAACATGCATGGGCAGTGACTGTGTAGTATCTGGTTAGTGAGCTACTGCAAGGTGAACTAGGATGTGAAACTCAATAATTACCTGAATTGTCTGTAAGACTGGCTGGCTGCCTAAATGAAAGAATGTAGAGCCATTTTACATGTCTTAGGGAATCCCTCTCGACCTCTGGCTGATATTCCAGACTGGTACAGTTCTTTCTGGCCCTGTCTCATATCTGAGAGTCCTGTGTGAGTGTCTCAGTGTCTGAAATGGCACTCCCTGTCTTATTGCAAGAAGCCGTGGTGGTTCCCAGGATTAGTTTGCTATGTTCTCTAGAGCTCTCTGTTGATTGACATAATTAAGAGAAGACACTTTGGAGAACAAAGTTTAGATAAAAGTTACTATCATGCAATAATGCACAGTATGTATTTTTTCTGGATGGATAGAAATTAGGACAATTAGGTTCATATTGCGAAGACATCTCAGTTCCCTGAGTGGAGCTTCCTCTGCAATAAGGTCTCTGTGCACACTAAGATAGTTGTGAATCTATAGGAGTACCAACTACGCTGCAATAATACCTGAGGACAGCTTGTGTGCCCAACAGGCCTTCTACCATTTCAAAAGTGGTTGAGCAAAAGTTCTGTGTTGAGCAAAAGATCTTTTAAGAAGAATTAGTCCACAGGGTCTGATGTTTTTCAATTTTATACCAAGTGCCAGGATTGTCAATCAGCTCCTATTCTGCATGTGCCATTTTTTAGTTGGTATATGAGCCTTAGGGAAAAAAAAACAGTCTTTTCTCATAGCGAGTATTATACCTTAAGCTGTCATTAAAGCCTTCTACCCCAAACTTTGAAGGAAAATAGCCTCCACCACTGAATGCTAGGCGACCTCCAACACTGGATACATTTACTATCCTTCCCTTTGCTCTTTTAATCAAGGGAAGCATATTTATTGTAACATTTATGAGTCCGATTAAATTAACTTCAATTGGTTCTCTGAAGTGCTCGATATCCAACCAGTCTGTAGGAGCTAATGGCCCCATAATCCCAGCATTATTGACAAGTCCCCAGAGACCTGTAGGGAAAAAAAGAAGAAAGTCAGGATGCAAATTTTCACCTAATGTGTCAGATTAATTGAACTGAGTGAGACTTCACAGAAAATCAGTGAGGAACTAAGGCGGCAGTGAAGATTTGGAGGAGTTGCTTGAGAATGTCCTGCAATATTCAGCTTTATTCTTAGTGTCCAGATTTTATCACCATGCTTGCCATCACCCTTTGCATAGTCTTCCCTCTGCCACAGCATTTTGGGCAGGGGGTAGTGTTGGCTTTTTGTGGGAGAAAGGGTAGTAGAGGAAGGCCAGGTATGGCCAAGAGCAACTATATTGGGTGACAGGAATAGACCTGGTCGTTGGTACAGGTATAGTGTCCTGAGACAAAGGTAAGTGTGCCTTGGTTCTGAACTGCATGAGGTGCCAGGACAATAAAGAACAACTCTTGATAAGAAAAAAAATGAAAAAATCTTTCTCAAAGATTTGAAAGGTTTGAAAATAAGATGGGAACTGTGTGACGGAGAAGGCTTTTGCTGTTCTTTTTCCTGCACTGACATTTTTGTTGTAGCAGAGAACTTACGTCTCACATTGATTGACATGCCCCAACTGGAAATGGGAAGGCTTTTTTTTTTTAAATGAACAGCCAGCTCCAAAAAATGAGGTGGAAGCAGGGAAAAACCCCTAGAATTATTTGAAAAACATTTCTGAGCCCTCAGAAGTGGGAGGGGAAAATACAAAAATGTAAAACCAGTTCTTCTCTTGTATCAGCTGTTAGAGTGGTGTGAATGAATACTTTTGCTGGTCTGACCTTACAGTTTTTCTTGGGGGGAAAAAATCACTTTTGGCCTGAAACCAAGCACAGTTTCAAGTAGAAGCAATTTGGCAAGTTGTAAGCAATTTTATGAAAAGATGAAAGGTCAAATGAACGTTGGAATTTAGTATTAAGTGTAATTGGTACTGTGGTACATCATAATAGACTCTATTTAAGACTCAAAGTTAGCAGAATCTAGCCCATAGGATCTTGGGCCTTTGTAAACTCTACTGCAGTACCATCCTACTGAAATCAGTTAACATCAGTAACGGCAGCAGCATTTTGTCTTGTAGGGTCATGGATACGGGATTTTTGTATTTTTCAGATGGTCTGCAAGCAATATTCCAAAATAGTTACAGTCAGATTTATTCAATAGTGTTAATATGTAATTTTTGCTTTTGATAGAATGAGTGATTACTTACAAGTCATTTATTACATGTATTCAAATTTTAAAGGGAAAACTCTTTAAGCTTGTTAAGTGGAATTTATTTCATTTGTTCTCTAGCCCGGTAGCACAGCATGGGAGGTGCTGAGCACTCGTGCCATAACCCAGATATGCATGTGAGTGCAAACAGTCCTAATGAAGGTTCCAGGAACTGGATTCCCATTCTGACAATGATGTATTGATAAGCCTGACTTTTTGAGCACATTCCCAAATATTTATCTACCACTTACTAGATGTATAAAACAACCCTCTAGTGAGATCTTCTTCCATGTTTCTGGAAGATGACAAGGCATCCACACACACTTGTCAAATGTCAGTTAAAGCAAGCTGTGAGTATGGGATGGTATTTTCAGGAAAACTCTATTGCTGTCTTTTTTTTTTTTTAAAAGACAGATATCCTGGCACTCACCTTCTGACTGAACTTCAGCTTTGACCCATGAAGCCACTTTCTTAACACTGTCTGAATCTCTTACATCTAGCAGCACTGTCTGAAGGTGCTTCGAGGTCACAGCTTTTAACTCTTTGGCTCCTGTTTCAGTCAGACAGCTGGCAAAAACTCGAAATCCCTTCTTGTCAAAAATCTTTGCTGCCATATTTCCAAATCCTGTGTCACATCCAGTGATGAATATATATTTTCCGGTGAGATTTGTAACCTTCATCCTGTTTCTTGCCCTCCAATGCCACCACAGAGAGACAATGCCAAAAAAGAGTAATACGTAGAAAAGCATTTTTACTGAAGTCTTACGGACACATTCTCCTAAAAAGAAAAATAAGAAAAATCTGCTAGTTTTTAAGGTATTGTCAGTTGGTTGGGGTTTTTCTTTCTTTTTGTCTTGAGTTGGCAAACAGCAACTGTTCAGGCACAATTCAGAGCCATGGCCTCCTTATCCTAAAACAAACAAACAAAAATCCTTCCTTGAGAAAAAATGAGGACTGGAGATATATTGTAATAAGGTTACAAAGAATAATGTGTATTAGGTTACTGCTGCCAGGTCAGTAACCTCCCATTGAACATATCTGGGAGAAACATCGACTAGAAAAGAGCAGCAAAAATTAAATATTTGCATGGAAACCAACAGTAATGTCTGAATTTAGTGCCAGTTCATAGAAAATTTAAAGAGTAAGACTGGGGCCAGCTGGCAACAAAAGGTCATACATGTGGTCCCTGAGCACAGGAAGGCGGGCGCAGGTTGGAGCACTTCACCTGCCAGAGTGAAGCTCAGGCAGTGTGACAACATCAATACTGCAAAATATGTTTGGGAAGAGCCTGCATATCTGGGATTATACCCCAATTGACTTAACAGTGAACTTATAAGTAACTATTGATGATGGATGAAATTCTGCTTAGAGAAAAGAATTCAGTTATACTTCATGAGTGCTCATGGCCGGGAAAACAGGAGATGCCTAATGCAATCAACTAAAAAAAAATTCTACATAGACGTAAAGGAGAACAGATCTTTTTAGAGATTACTTACAGACAATCCATCTCTGGAGGGCAAGATGCAATGAAGTTGCATTTACTACAGCCAAATTCTTATCTGGCAAAACTTAATTTAAAAGGAATTGCAAACACCTGACATGTTTTTAAGCATCATAATAGGAACAGGAACTTTGCTTTTATTTTCTGCATGTAGAACTGCTTTCTGCTCTGACAAGGGCGAAACATTTTTATTGCAAGCCCTGTGGCTGCTTATGGTGCTTGTTTACATGAATATGTATGCTGGTGAAATGCAGCTTCTTGTGCTGGCTGGAAGTTACCCAGGGTGTTGCTAAAATTGCAATGTAGGGATGCTAGTTTTTGTTGCATAACTTCCTCTGCAGCATCAGCAGTGAAGAAAGTATGAAGAAGCGATTAAGTAACTGCCCTCCCTGTATAGTATTTCATGGTTCCTTTGTTTAGACAGGGAAAATTTTCTCTTGGCATATGTACGTACACATAGCAGACTCAGCACAGCGGCTGGCTTTCCTTCTCCTGCAACCCTTGTTAAAATTCCTATTCTCTTTATAATATCCCTTGCTCTGCTTAGAGTTGCCATATTCCTTTACAGCCTTCCTTCACCTGCAGCTGAGTAACAGTCCCTAGCTGTTACACATCAGAGCCAAGGCCAGGCTGGCTGCTGGAGGCTGCATGGAGACCTGCCCTCCTTGGCACGGAGGCAGGGTTCCCTAGCCGCTCCTGCCCTCTCGCACCTACCTGCCCCCGGACCTCCGCCACGCTGGGCAGCTGCACCTCGTGCGTGCTAAAGCCTGTACAGGGCCCGGCCACGGCAGTGAGCCGGGGGCCCAGGGATGGAGAAGGTTTGTGAAGAGCCCCTCTAGAGAAGGAGGAGATAGAACTGTGTTTCATCATGCCCTACTTCAACTAGAGAGTAGATATAAAGTATAACGAGTAAATTAAATAAAATAGAATTTTGGCCTGATCTGTAATCTGGTGAATAAATAAAAATAAAAGCCAATTTAGCTAGACTGAGGGAAAAGGCTCGCCTAGGCCTGTTTTTGCCATGGCAACAGGCACATCTACAAACACAGGATTTGGACGATCAAGGTTAATTTCTGGTCCCTGTGATCTTTAATCAGTGGGTCAGTGGGACTTCATATCAAATTAATAAAGTGATGAAGTTACAAGGTTTTCAGTTAGAGTGCTTTGTATAGGCTGTTTCCAACTCCAGCCTGCCAGAGAGACTGACAGGTCCAGCGCCTGCCCACAGTGGCCTGGCTTGGCAGTGTAAAGGCCTACCTCCAATTTTTTACACGAGTCACAAACCAAAAAAGAAAAAAACCCAAAGGGTTCTTCAAGAAAAAAATGTATTTTCCTCTAGTGTCCAGGAGAGAGAGTGATAAGAGGCGGTCAGGCAGAAGCCCCAAAGGCGTTTGAGTGGCGGCATTCAAGAGTGGTTGGGAAAGCAGAGGTGCAGGGGACAGGCAGGCTTGTGTGGACATGCCACCTTCTGACAGGAACAGGTGAGGTGACTGAGGGGCCAGTTGCCCAGAGGGTGGGGAAGGCACTCTCAGAGATGTCTTTTTGAAAGGATTTTTTTGATACGTTGAGTCACTTAGTTTTGATATAAAAGTTATAGTTTACTTTTAAAATTTACAGGGGTTTTTTGGTTTTGTTTTGGTTTTTTTTAGAAGTGCTGTTGCTATCTCTGCTATTTTTATTTGCACGAGCATTTAGAATGGAGAAAAAATCCAGCTGTCAGACTTGTGTAGGATCAACAGGATAAGTGGGTGCATGTCCTACTTCTGGTACTTTCCAAGAACAGATGGTGAAAGGCTAACTATAGAAACAAGGCGAGTAACTAGAGGTAAGTCCCTCGCTGGACCCAGTCCAGATGGTATTTTGCAGGTTCAGTATAGCAAATTCAGACCATGGGAGAAGAAATAAGTTTGTTTGTTTCTTTGTGCTGGCCTCCCACCTTGGAGGTACCTGCTCTCAACAATCACCAACTTGGACTTTTTACTTTCCATAACAGAAGAAAGTCATGTTCACAGAAATGTCCCCATTGTACCCAGAGGTACTTTCCTTATTTCACTGTAAGAAAAGTATCTGCTATTCCCCATTTCAGTATGAAGAAATGTAGTTTGGGGGGAAAAAAAAAAAAGGAAATGGACTTCATATCAAAGAACAGCTTTTTGCTTGCAGCAAAAATGATAAAACCCAGCCATCAAAAGAGAAGGTCTTGCTCTTAGGTGCAAAAAGGAGGTTTCCGTGTAGAACATTTGCTAAAGATCTTTGGAAAGGACAGTAACTTTTTCAAAAGTTATGCGGCGTTGAAGGAAATAATGTACATATGCATCTCATAGGATTGACATAATTCCATTTTTAATAGCATAAATCATGAATCAGTAAGCTCAGTGTAAAGTTCACTTTGCATTGTACAAAATTAATACTAAGTCATGTTTGTATAACTGCTGTGGTGCCAAGAAAAGAATGAAGACACAGCATGTGGGTACTTGCCAACTTGACCAGTTGTGTGTGTGCACTGACCTTTCCTGCAGCTTCTCACTCCTCCAGTCTCTGCCCTGATCAGTGTCCTGCAGAGGAGCTTGTCCTCTTCCATCCCTATTTTGTTTGTTTTGTCCTCTAGATACCTTTATAACTGTGATTTTTTTTGTAGATGAATTTCATAAACAGTATTTAACAAGTGACACTCCAAGAACAGATGTGGAAATCATCTGCCTAATACTTCAAGTTGCAGACTATCTATCTACTTTATTTCAAATATCCCTTACCTTAAATCAGGGTACCAAAAGAGAGCTGTAAATTGTTTTTATTTAGAGTTCACTCTTTCTTGACCTTCATACTATTTAGGCAAAAAAATTGTGATAACATGTGGAGGAAAATAACAAAAAGTATTTTCAAAACCCAGGAGAAATAAAGAAGTGAACAAAGTGTTTTCCTTTGTTTTTCAAAGGATCAGAGGAGAGGAAGATAAAGCATCATGCAGAAGCAGAAGTGTACTACCATATTGGGATCTGCCTTACACTTTGATATGCTGAGGTGCTGTCACTGTAAGTGGCACAGTTAAGATGGGGATTATACTCAAGTGAAAAATCCAATGTCTGGCTTCTTGGCCCCAGAACCACTGTATGCTAGCTACAGAAATAAATTTGGCTATGAATGGTTAAGAAATAAATTAATGAAGCATAAAAGCTGACTGCTCAATGCCTTCTGTCAGGCAGGAGAGTCCAAACTGCTGTACTTGCATACAGACTTCAGTGTAAAACACAGAAACAAGCTGCTCATCTGGAGCCTCAGCCTGCCGTGGCAGACTGAGTCCGTTCACCTGGTGGGTGGAAAACTGGCCACGTATTCCTTCATAGCTGTGAGCACTCAGTGCTAAATTTCTGGCTATCTTTAGGAAGTTTTGGAAGCATTTTATTTGATTGCTGTTACTAGCTGATGTCAATACTAGAATAAAGATCAGTAGGTTATAGACTACAGCTTAGACCTGAGGAATCCTGTGCCAAAAGAGTGCATGGGCTTTCATTTCTTACTGACAAATTATCCGTGTGGAAAAAACTTAAGATTCATTATTATTCACTTGCTCTTATGAACTGTTGGAAAAAAATCCAGAGAAGAGAGGATAACTTCATTGGAGTGGTAATATGCTAGAATAAACAGCTACTCAAATTGAGGGAAGAAGTAGTTATTTTACTGCATTTGGCTCAATGAATTGTGATCTTTTTCTTCTTGTGCAAAGAGGTATTAAAACGATGTGAGCTGTAAGCAAAATGTTTCCCTTCAACTCAGACCACGACTGAGGGGAATTATCCTGACAGCATTGCTCATCTTTCATGAACTAAATAGTATCTATAACCTACCAAAATTCAGAGGTTTTGCATGTGTCCCCTACGAGAATTCAAGGATGAAAGCATTTGTTCTCAGTCTCTTTGATTTACTGCTCTGTATCGCTTTAGTTCAGTGGCTAATTCTTCATTTACTGGAGGGCTGACTAGCAACAGAAACTGAGTTTTTGTTTCCCAGGACATTAGAAGGAAACAAAGTACAAGAGGGCTTGAGGAGGTGGAGTGGATTTGGCTAGTTTTTTCTACTAGCAGCTGTAAAAGGGGAAGGTGATTCTGTGGGAGTGGGACCAGATCTAAGTGCTATATGTTCTCCACTTTGCTCTACACAGACAGAAGATTTTTCAGCATAGATTCATTTTTATGCCCCGTGTCATAAAGTCAGGTCAGAATTTATTTATCTTCAGGACTTTTTGTAAGG